CCGGCGCCCTGCCTTTGGGGGGGTGCGTCGTGATCCGCCTCCTGCTCCGCGCCCCTCTTGGAGTGAGAACCTGTGTGTCTTCAGATCTGTGCTTTCCTTCGCAGATCACCTTGCTCTTTAAGGCAGTCTGCTTTCAAAGTTGCCTTTTTTCTAATAATGTCAAAAGGGGAAAAAAAAGCTGCCTAAAAGCCTTTTTGGGAGGAAAGAGCCTGGGCATAAATAGATAAATAAATAAATAAGTGAAACTCCTACAAAGAAGATTTAAAAAAAAAAATCAAAGATGGAGCCTTTGTGCTTGGCCTGGGGTGTAAACGGCCGGCTCTTTGTGAAACGTTTGAGGTTTTCGTTTTCGATGCTCTTTCCTCCTTTTTATGCGCTTGTGATTCCAATAGGAGAGGTGGGGTTTGTTTTCAAGCCTTGCCCAGGCCCTGGGTGGAGTGACGGAAAGAGAGCAGGCTTTGGAGACGTGCATGTCTCCCTCCATTCAGCAGCTGGCACTGACTGAGAGATGGTTCTGTCGGCGCGTAGCCTCTCTTTGGGGTGTGCCAGGCCCTGTGTCACTGCTCTGTAGACGGAAACTGAGGCACAGAGCAATTACATAGCTTACCCAGGCTCCCCCAGCTTGTCAGTGGCCGAGCTGGGATCTGAAACCTGCAGACTGGCTCCCGGGTTCTAAGCTTTTCATTGTGCTGCTCTTCAAATAAAAAAGCCTACTATGCACAGGGGCTGAGTTAGCACTGGTGTGGGCAGACGATCTGAGAAAGAGACAGTTACAGAGCTGGCTGTGTGATGCGAGCCAGGCAGAGGGGAGCCTGGGATGGGAGGGGAGCACCCAGGAGGGCTTCCTGGAAGAGGCAGCCAGCAAGCTGAGGCTTGAAGATTGGGAGGACTTAGCTGGGCATAGCGAGTGCAAGAACAGGTAGAACTGGGTTCATTTCTGACTCCAGGGCTCATGGGTGGTGTCCATTAGGTGCCTTCACATCTGGCAGACGTCGGCCCAGCCAGGACCCTGCCGCTCCCTCGCAGACTTGTTAGGATATCAGACGAATGGAAGGCATGGAAGGTGCTTGGCACACAGTAGGTGCTCAGGAAACGTTAGTGACCATGTCCGACTGACAGGCAGGAAAGTGGGCTGCACATTTACTGTGACTTAGGGTTGTAAACCGGTGGCCCATGGTTGGGCCAGAGAATTTGAATTACTTGTTCACATTTATAAATTGGGAGAATCCACACAAAACCTCAGATTTCCAGCTTTTTCTGAAAGCTCCTGAGATCTGGCGACTGTGGTCTGCATGTCCCACACCGTGCTCCTGGGCTGAGCGAGGAGTAGCTGTCCCTGCGGGGCACCTGTGCTGCCAAATGCTCCCCCTCGGCTGCCCCCTGAGCCTGCCTCCATCCTCTCTCCCTCCTGGCGTTTCCCCAGCCCTGTGTCCCCTTGCGGCCCGCGGCCCAGGGTGTCACTGCTGGAAGGTGAACTTTGGTGCATCGGAAGTGCGGTGGCTTCAGTTCCTTGCAGTCGGCTGCTGGGTTTAGTGTGGTCAAGGGCATTCATCTCCAGACAACGGCAGGCACTTAAAAAAGTGATGAGTCCCTGGCCCTGTGACCGCGAGCCCCAGCCCCTTTGAGCGCCCACACCCGTCGTGCACGCCAGATGCCTGGGGATCTTCCTCCGTGACCCAAGAGAGGCAGTGTTTCGAATCTTTGAAGTGTGTGACTTTCTGGCAAAAGGACCAGTCCTTTCAAAACCAAGGCATTCCTGGGATTATCAGAAAGTCACTGACCTGGCAGAGCGGGGTCCTTGGGGAAAAGCCATGGTTCAAGGGGAGCCCCTCCTTCCAAATGTCGGACGGACCCTCATAAACAGCAGCAGAGTCCCAAAGGGGCACTGTGGTTCAGCAGTGTCACTTCCGGAGTCCCAGCTCTGATCTGCCACCCACATACTTTACCTGGAGTCCCAAAGTCCCTTTTTTGGATTTTGCCATCTTCCAAGGCCAAGTTCAATTGCTGCCTCTTCCAGGAAGCCTTCCCTGGTTCTCCCTGAGATGAGTTCACTTGTTCCTCAGAAGCCCCTGCGAGGTCGGTGCTGCTGCCACCCCCACGTTACAGACCAGGACACTGAGGCTTAGCAAGATGAAGGGACCGGCTGGAGGCCACACGCCAGCACGTGGCACAGTGAGACCTGAACCCGGGGCTCCAGGCCCCAGACCATCCTTGTTTTCCTCCGCCCTATGCTTAACAGGCCTGTGGAATGTGCCGTTGGCCCGAGCCTGGGGGTTCTGGGAGAGCATTTCTCCTTTATTGAAGCCGCGAGATCCCGGGTCCTGTTTAGTGTTATCTTTGATGTTCAAGGGCGGTGTGGAAATGTCTGTTTTCATGTGACCCAGTTTCTCTGCTTTGAAATGCCGTCCCCGTTCTCCTCCCCTCTCCCTGTGTTTGAGATCAGGCAGCCGGGCTCCTGGAAGCATCTCTTTATTGCCGCAACAACCCCCCCGCCCCACCCCTCTGGTCGTTCCAGCCCTCATCCCGTGTCCAGGCAACTGGATGACCCGTGCGACAGCTCCAGGGCTTCTTAGAGGAGGTACAGGCTCAAGGTGAGGACTCACCTGCGTGGCTCACCTGTGCCCTGAAGCCCACCTGTGTGGCCCTCCGCCTGCAGGGAACCAGGGTCTTTTGTTCTTCCACTGCTGCAAACAGAACCATCGCAGACAGCCTTGACCCACAGGGACCCCCCTGGCGTCTCTGTCCTCCTGTGATGTCGGCCCAGGAACCGGGAGTGGGGAGCCCCCCGCCGCTGCCTGCACCCGCCTCCCCAGCTTACAGACATGCCTCTCACATATGCAAGGACTTTTTGTGAAAAACCCCATTTCCCTCCTTCCCTTTTCTACCTTTGGAAGCTCTTTGTGGGTTAAAAGACTCTTTGTAACTCATAGTGGAGTAAAAACAATAGCTGAAATATGGTCTCTGTTTTCTCAACGTGCCTGAGTGACGGGGGTGGGGGGGATCTTGGAATGTTGTTAGAAGACTGGGGCGTGGGCTGATCTCAGGCTCATTTGCCCCAAAGGTGTGTAATGTGTCTGCTTCTTGCCCCAGGGAAGCTCAGGATTTGGGGAGGCGAAGGCGGCTGTGGTGGGCTCTGCTCTTAGGCTGCGCCCTGCGGGGGGCGGGGGGGGGGAGCGGGGCGGGGACTGCGCCTGCTCCTGCTTCGGGCTGCCCTCCAGGCTGGAATGTTGTTGGGAGGGGCCCACCTTCTCCCCTCTCTTCTTCTAAATTGAGGTGAAATATGCGTAACATAAAATTTAGCATTTTTAACCCCTTTACCCCTTTTTAGGTGGACAGCTCAGTAGTGGTGTTAAGTACATTCACGTTATTGTGCATCCGTCTCCTGAACTTTTCCATCTTCCCAGACTGAAACTCTGTCCCCGTTAAACGCTCCCTCCCCATAATTTCTCCTTTCCGTTGCTGTGAATTTGACTCTCAGGACCTCACGTAAGTGGAATCAAACAGGATTTGCTGTTTTGTGTCTGGTTTATTTCACTTAGTATAATGTCTTCAGGGTTCACCCACGTGGTGGCTTGTGGCAGAATTTCCTTCCTTTTTATGGGTGAATAACATTCCATTGTATGTCGGGACCGCACTTGTTTATCCTTTCATCCATCAGTGGACACTTGGGCGGTTTCCACCTTTGGGCTGCGAATCGCTGTGTAAATCATCGCTGCTGTAGATCATGGTTGTGCAGGAGAACCCGTTTCTTAACAGTCCTGTGTCAGGGCCTTCCTGATGTTAGAAGCTGTGTCTCCCTTGTGAGGGACAGAGGGTGGCTGGTCCCCAGAGCTGGGTCTATCGCTGAATCTGGAGAGCCCGCCGTGTGCTCGGCTCTGGGCTTGGGGCCTGACGTTTGTCATTTCATTCGATTCTTCCAGGGGCCCTGACATTTTAAGGAAACGGGGAGAGAGGTTACCAGAGGTGCCTGGGGTTGGGCCACCATGACCTGTCCCCTGGCTACTGTGCCCCCTGCCCCTTCGAGTCCCTGAACTAGAAGTGTTCAAGGTTCAAGGTGACTGTGGTATGGAAAGAGGACATGGACCTCTGAGGACGTTTTGTTACGGTGGGGGGGGGTCCTCTGCCTGTGTCACTGGTGATCGCCGACAGAGAGGGCTGGTTTTGTGGCACGTGGTCGGGGACTGTCGCCCAGCAGTTCTCAGCCAGGGCTGGGAAGGCGGCAGGTGCCCAGCCTCACCTGTACCCTCTGAATGGGGTCTCGGGGCCGGAGCCTGGAGTCCGATGGCAGCTGGGCTGGTGTGACTCAGGGTGCTTTCCCGGGGGTCTCTCTACTGTGGGATCGAGGGGTCCTTTCTGCACGGCAGGATCCACGCTGCCCCTCCCATTGTGTTACCCTGGGGGCCCTGCGACTGTCCACCGACTGCCCTCTAGACAGGGGTCCTGTGCTGCCAACTCTGACTTCTGATCCAGTTTGTTAGATCCTGTTGCTTGTTCCACTGCCCCCGACCCTGGGCATCACCTGGTGTCAGCCCAGCAGGATTCTGTCCCCGAACCTGGGCTCGCCTGTGTGCATGCTGGGGTTGGGGATCTTCACACCCGGAGTCCACAGTCGAGGACACAGCCGTCCAGGTGGGGAGGGTAGCTGCCTTTTCAGGCCCTGTTGCTGTGATCCAGGCTTTGTCTGTATCAGCAGCCGTGGGCAGATCTGGAAGCATCCAGAAGCTTCTGCGTCTTCGTCATGTATTCCAAAGAGCAGTGAAGCCCTGGCAGGGCTTGATGGGACACGGGGACTGTTTGGCTGGGGGAACAATTGCAGAATGTATTCTTGGTCCGGAGCATTTTTCCTTGGACTCTGTTTCTGGGCAGCAAGCCATTTTGGAATGTTTGTTAAGTGCTTAAAAAACAGGAGTTGATTTCTCCGTGTTTCCCCTGCCAACGTGTGAGGCTACTATATTCCATTTATATTGACTGGCTTTTTCCTTTCTCTTTCTGCTCAACAGTGAGTGACCTGCAGGAAGAAGGCAAAAATGCCATCAACTTGCCGATGTCCCCTGCCTCGGTGGAGATTCACCCTGAAGACACCCTGCTCGGTACCGTGGGTCCTGCCAGTTCCCTGCCGTGGGCCAGCTGAGCTGCCGGGGGGTGTGGTTCACCAGGGGGTCGTGGCCATTTGATCAGATGTCACACAGGGTGGCATTTGAGAGTCTGCACTCTCAGCTCAAGGTCACGTTTGGGAAAGTCTGTAGTGGAAAAGCCAGCCTTCCGCTGTAGGTTTCTGCCGCTCTGACTTCAAACGTCAGTTTCGCTATTATAGAAGTGCGGATCAGGAGACTCCTGCTGCTGAAAAGATGGTTTGCTACACATATGGTTCCCACGGTGAGGAGGGAAGGCGCTGGGGTTGGACAGGAGGCAGAGAGTGAGGGGGAAATGTGGGCAGAAGCCTTTCTTGTGGATTTCATGGAAAAGAGCGGGGAGGCAGAGGAGCAGGTTTGGATTGTCTGGTTGAGGTCACTTCAGGGGCCACCCTGAGTTGTCTGTATCTGGCCTTGGGGTGATGAGGGTAGAGGCTACGGGCTGGGAGTGTGAGGGCCCTCAGTACAAGAGGTGGCTGGGAGATGTGGGCTCTGCACTGTCGTTGCATTTGAAAGGCACTCATAGGGGACACGTTTGCTGTCCTGGGACTCAGCTAGCTCTAGGAGGGGCAGTCCCTCCAGGTCCCCAAGGCCCCAAGATGTCAAAGCAGTAGAAAATACAGAAAATAAGGAACACGATTAATACACGCCCCCCTCCATCTCTGCATGGGCCAGAGCAGCCCCAGTGCCAGGCGCTTGCGAGGTGGCATCTGCCAAGTGGTGACGGCCCCACACCCACACCCACTGCCTGGGGACCGAGTCACAGCCGGCACTGATGGGCGATGGCCTGGACGCGCGTGCCTTAAAGCATGTTTTGAGATTGGTTGGCTCTGGAAGACAGTCTCGGAACATTCCACTGTTTCCAAACCCTGGTTCAAAGGGAAGTCCTGACCTATCCCTCTGTCGTGGTTCCCAGCACATGGCCAGGCCAGCAGGAGCTCGTGGGGAAGAAACGCAGACGCCGGTTCAGTCCGGCTGACCTGACGCCCAGTGCTGGACGAGCTCGGGGGTGCCCCTGGGGTCCCCTGCGTCTTCCCCTCTCCTCTCGGAAGCAGTCCCTTCACTGTCGGCGGTGGTACATTGTCTTCAGTCTGGTTGGAACTGCTGCCCAGGGAGGTGACCCTCTTCGAGGGGAAACTGGGATGAGCACAGTCTGAAAATGACCCTGATTCAGAACAGGGTCCCCTCCACCCTCACGCTTGGCACTGTGGGTGGCTGGCTCTGGATGACTCTTTATGGCGGGGCTGTCCTGTGTGTTGTGGGGTGTTGATCAGCACCCCTGGGCTCTACCCACTAGATTCCAATAGCATCCTGCTCTCTACCAGTTGGAACAACCAAAAATGTCTGCAGGCGTGGCTGCACATCCCCTGGGAGGAGGTGCGGGCGTGGCTGCACATCCCCTGGGAGGAGGTGCGGGAGACGCAGCTGCTCTGCTGAGAACCCTGCTCTAGGCCTGCAGGAGTGCTCAAAACCGGATTTCTCTTAACTGTGTGGCAGGCTTTTGTTGTGCCTTGGACCTGCTTTTCCCTGGGCCCTAACCTCCCTGCCTTACTATTTTGCTCAATAGCTCCTCTTGGGGCTTACTTTGCTGTGTAAGGTTCTGCTGGCCCCTGTAGCTCTGTGGCCTTGAGAAGAACTGGCCTGGTCAGCACCTGGAGCTGAGAGCTGAAGGGTGAAGGGGACGTGAAGTGTGGGGAGAGTGTTGGACAGAGAGCAGCAGGTGCCGAGGCCCAGGGGCCGGCGGTGCTGAGAGGCTGTCAAGAAGTCAGTGGAGGCCGGAAAGGCTGGAGTGGAGGGTGTCGGGGAGAGCTGGGGAAGGAGGCTACAGAGGGCGGCCACGGGGGAGGATGCCGGCCTTGATCGCAGGAGTGATGGGATGCTGCTGAGGGCCCTCATCAGGGACATCACAATGGACCGCCATGTGGTCCCCTGCGTGTTACCTGCAGCATCTCTCTGAAGCATCAGGTCTAAACATAGTTGGTCAGGTTTTAAATTTTGCTGTGGTGAAGCCTCTGTCGCTCAAAGTCATTTCATTCCCACCGACATGGACAGGGTACCAGCCGTGGGAGCTTAGGCGGGCCCCGGGTGCTGGTCATCGCCACCTGCAGGTCCTGGGGGCCCTGGCTCCCACCTGGAGCCCGCACTGTGTCTCTTTCCTTTCCTTTTAATGCCCCTGTCAGCTTTGTTCTGCGCCGTGTCTGGTCCTGTGGGTCTCGCCCCTCTGCCAGCCCCTTCCCCAGCACCATGTCTCCCCATCCTTACGCGCTCGTTGGAGCCGTGGTCCATGGATCAGGCCAGAACGCGGAGGGAAGAACAAACAGATAAACAGAAAAAGACACGTGTGAACAGTTTGCCATGAGACATCTTCTTTTTTTTCCCGGTTCTTTCTAAGATTTGTCTCCGTACCTCCTTACGCAGCAGCGAGCTTTCTCAGAGTGATGGTGGATGAGGGAGCTTTTCCCACAGATCCAATTCAGGCCTGTGTGCATGTCCCCAAAAGATGGGAGTGGACACCCCATCGCCTCCCGGAAGGCAGGTCCATGCATCGGCCGCCCGCCTGGACTGCTGCAGGGCCGTTTGGTCTGGGCTTACTGAGAGGACCACGGGGGTCTCTGCTCTCAGCACCCCCATCTGTGTGAGGGAAGCCGCCCGCCCCCACTGACTCTAACCTGACTGTCCTCTGTCCCCCAGAGGAGAACGAGGAACGCAGGGTGATCGACCCCACCTCCAGGGACGACCCCAGATTCAAGGAGCTGGTCAAGGTGAGGATGAGGGTCTTGGTCGGTCTATCCCTGGTAGGGCAGATCTTGGGGTTCAGGCTCTTGTGGGCAAAAGAGCAAAGCCTGGGGGCTGGTCCAGGGGCCTCAATGCTGCGTTCCGGGGAGGGTGAGGAGGCTGGATGGCCCGGAGTGCCTCCCAGGGGCCCAGCCCCACCCTTGAGGCTTGGAGCAGCCGGAGTGAACTCACGTCACCTTGCAGAATGGTGTTCAGGGCGGTCCCGCTCTTGCTGGAGCACAGAGGTGGGGGGAGTCCAGAGGAGGCTCTGAAAAGCGGGCACGTGGGCCCCTCCGGCCAGCCCTGCTCATCCTCCTCTCATGTTGCTGCCCCTGCCTGCTCTGGCCGGTGGTCAGATTCTGAAAGTCCTGGAAGCGAGGACGGGCAGGGCGGGGTGGGGCTCTGTGGCTCTTCGCTGGGGCTGGTCGGGGGGGGCGGGTGAGGGGCGTGGGGGGGGGGGCAGCCCTCTTATCCGTGGTGGTTTCTCAAGCTCCAGCTCAGCGTCGAGGCTTTATTCCAATGTCTATCCGTGTCCGCGTGCAAACTGCAGTTTTGATGGCTCTGACTGAGTCACAATAGGGCTTCAAAGGTAACCCTGGTCAGACCCGACGCCAGGTCTGGGGCAGGCAGCCGTGGAAAACGCCCACCTCTGCAGCCCCAGCCAGCCCAGCGGACCCCTGGCTTTGATGACAGCGCGCGCCACAGACAACTTCTCTTAAAAGGACGTTTTCAGAAGTTTCTTCACCTTGACCGTGGCTGTTGGGCCTGACGTGGAGCACGACTGCCTTCTCACAGGGCTGGCTCCGGACAAACAAAACCTTCGCGTGTTTCACCTTTTAAAAAACTGAAATGGAAAATGTCATTTTGGGGCCCATCCCGAAATGTTGATTCTCAACAACTTAAATTGCTGAGTTTATTTTGTTAAGAATTTTTTCTCCCCTGGATACCCACTTTGGTATTCTGAACAGAAGAATGTTGGTGAGGAAGGTGATCTTGTCTTTCAGGCACCAGAGTGTTCTCCACAGGCCACGTCTACGTAGTAAAAGGGGTGCTCTGTGTCTGTCAGGGCTCTGCAGAGAAGCGGAGCCAGTGGGTGCAGCTCTGTATCCGTCTGTCTGTCTGTCTATAGAGATTTATTCCAAGGATGGGCGCACGTGACTGGAGGCTGAGTCCCGCCAGCCCAGCTCCTTGTCCCGGCCGGACGCTTTCTCTCAGCTTGCACTGCCTGGAACCGTTGTGTGTTTATTTGCTTGGTTTCGGTCTTCCTCCTCCATCTAGAATCTACTTCCCACGCAGTCGGAGACTGTCAGCATTTTGCTCCCAGGGGAGTCCCCGTGTCAGGAGGTTGCCTGCGCACAGCGGTGCTGAATGAGGGAGCAGGGCTGGCAGTGCCCACCCGAGGTTGTGCCTCAGGACCAGCCAGGAGGGCGTGCGGCCCGCAGACAAGGCAGGCTGCTGCCCCACCCCAGACCTCCAGGGTCCGAGTCTTGGGAAGGGGGCCCTGGGAGGATGCGGTGGGGGGGGACCTGTGAGCTGGATGCTGATATAGGTGGTCCCCAGAGCCGCCGTGGGGACCCAGGGGTGCGGATGACCTGTCCTGGTGGTTCAGACAGAACACCTCCATCCACGTTACCTGCGCGATCCTTGCTGCTATTCAGAATGTCCGTCTTGGCTGTTGGCTCTGATTATCCAACCTCCGACTGATTAAATCTGAGGAGGTCCCAGCAAAGGCCGCCTCCCAGGGGATCCCTATAGGGATTTGACCCAGAAACAGTTGTTTTTGGTGCAGAGTGTGAACCTGATCAAGTCAGGGTGAGGTCCAGCTGACATCCTCACTGCTGGCACGTCCCAGCCTTGGGACCAGCGCGACCTTTCTGAGGAACCACAGCCAGTCTGCTTGCTTTCTTTCTCTGTTCTCCATCATCTGTACTTTTTTTTACCTCTTGTCTTGGCCCCTGTCCTGTCTCCCTCTGTAGCTTTACTCCTGCTGATCCTGACGCCTCAGGACTGTCACTATTTAAAATATTGTTAACTGACCTCTGCTTCCTGTTTTAAAAAAAAAAAAACACGCTGGCTCTGGCTAAGCCAGGCATTACTTGAAACATTCTCCGAGCATCTCTTGTGTGTAATGCAGTGTTACGGGTTGCAGGGGCTTGGTGGGCTCTGGAGTTGGCTTCCTGGATTCAAATCCTGGCTCGGATTAAAGTGGGAGAACAGTAGTGCCCATCTGCAAGCGTGAGGATGACATCAGATGCGACTCCCTGTCCTCAAGGTGCCAGGTGCTGGAGCCGGGGCGCAAACAGGGTGGAGCCGGAACGGAGGTCCACGGGCAGGTCTGTGGTTCGAGTTTAGACGTGAGCACATGTATCCTGTGGGTTCAAGAATGCAAAGACCTAGCCTGTCTCCTCTTTGCTGGGGTTTCGTCCTGTGGTCATTTTCGCTAGCATCCTCCAGAAATGCCCTGAGTCTCTTCCAGGGTGAACAGCTGGTGCTGCCCGGGGAAGATAGCAGTTTACAGATGAGATCCTTTATATGTTTAATGACCCTTGAAAGAAGGAATGGCAGACGTCATGCTTTCCAGAGTGAAGATCCAGAGAGGGGCCTCCGCACGTGAGCATGCTGGTCCAAGGCAGGCTGGTCGGGTCACCGGGGTACCCGTTCCTCCCCACCAGCAGATTTCACGTCTCCTCTCCCAGTTTATTGGACCAGACTCTGCCGGTTGTTAAGTTCTGTTTTCTCCCTCCCTTTGTCCCCATGAAGAAAGCTGCGTGGAGACAGTCTGGGCGGAAGACGGCGTTGTCACCGCCGGGGGGGGGGGGGGAGACACCCCGTGCCGCGTCTGGCGCTGCACCTGGCTGGGATGGCCTGCTGCCTGTTGCAATAAGCCTGCGTCCTCAGCGTATTAAGCCACTACAAGCCTGTTTGGACGTGATTAAAACATCACTGTCATGGCTTTGGGGGAGACAGGCTGCAGATCCTGATTATCATTCAGAAGGAACTCCGGGAAATTTTGTATTCTGGTTAAAGCAAGCTTGAAAAAGTTCCCTGCAAAGAGCACTGTGCCGAGGGCATCATTGGTCTACGTCCTAGACATGTGCCTGCAGGAGTCGGGGTGTGCAAATGAGTATGTCCCTAAAATCATGACCGATGCCATGTTTAAAAAGTCTTTTGTGAAACAGGGGATTGAGATGGACGACCTGGGCAGTGCGAGGCCAGGGTGATGATGTGGCCAGGAGGGGGCTGCACCTCTGCAGGGGCGGCCGTGAACCTGGGCCGTGGATCTGTGTCTGCTTCCCAGAGCTGACCTCCGCGGCCTGTTGTATGCAGTTTGCCTTTCATCCCTGTCTGCCTGTTGTTTTTATATTTGGACTTTGACCAGGTCAGAAATCCAGATGGGACTTTTTAAGTTGTAGTTTCTTCATAGCAGAAACATCTCTGGAGTCTTTTCCGACAGGACTGTGCTCTGGGCGAGGCAGCCTCTGGAACCAGGTGTCTGTGTGCCCGAGAGAACCTTCAAGGTCTGGGCAGCTCTGCAGCTGATTTGAGCATCTTCCACGGGTCTGTCCCTGGTGTAGCCCCTGGGGCTTAGCCCTTGGGGCTGTGGCATTGAGCAGAGAAAGGCCCCACCCTCGTGGGGCTGACAGCCCAGCTCGGGGAAGACACGTGGAGGGACGAGTGCTTCTGTGACCGGGAGGTGTGAGTGCTTGGAAGGAAGCTAAAGCAAGAAGCAGGATGGTTTCCTCTCCCCTCTGCTTTAGTCGCTGAGCAGAGACCTGCTCACTGGTACCCAGGGGGAGTGTGTGACTGGCAAGGCGGCAGTGGGTGCAGAGGCGCCATGGGATGCACGCTCTGGCCTGTGTGAGGGCCAGTGAGGAGGGCAGTGTGGCTGGAGCCTAGAGAACAGGGACGAGGGTGGTCAGAGGTCAGATCAGAGATGGGGAGGGTGAGACATGATGCTTGACTCCCTGGGGGTTGGTGGAGTGGGGGTGGGGACCGGCTCCCTCTAGTGGCCGTGGGAGGACCAGCTGGGCTCGGGGCCTGGTCCGCCCTTCATGCAGGGGCCCTTCCCTGCGAGCAGCTGTGACACCCAGCTGCCCTACTTAGGGCAGAGACTAGGTCACGTTTCTTTCTACATGCAGCACCTACGGTGGTGTCCCTGTACACCAAGTGCTGCTGGCGATGCCGAGGCCATCAGAAAGGGGCTCGTGACATGCTGTGAACTCCCGAGACGCGCTGCTGACGTCTGTGTAGATCACGGTGGTTGGTTAGCACTACTGACTGGACAGTCACCCAGATCCTCCGAAGAGCCCTGCAGAGGCAGATGCAAGCACCTGCATCCTAGAGATTAACTTTCATGACAGGTTTATTGAGGTAGAATTCACACACTGTACAATTCAGTGGCGACTGGCATACTCCCAGAGTTTGTTCAACCACCACCTCAGTCAATTTAAGAACATTTTCATCACCCCCAAAACAAACTCCATTCCCGTCAGCACTCAGACCCTATTTCCCTGCTTCCTGGTCCCTAACAACCACTTTATCTCTATAGAATTTTTCTGTCTCTGTAATTTACATGTTCTGGGTATTTCATATAAGGGGAATCATACAATATGTGACTTTTGTGTCAGGCTTCATTCATTTGGCATTGTGTTTTTAAGATTCATCCATATTGAAGCATGTATCAGAATGTCATTCCTTTTTATAGCCGAATAATATTCCACCACATAGACATACCACAGTGTGTTTATCCATTCTTTGTTGATGGCATTTAGATTGTTTCCACATCTTGATTATTTTGAATAGTGCTGCTACGAACATTGGAGGGTACGAGGTTTTGTGTGAACTTATGTTTTCCGTTCTTTTTGGCGTGTACCTGGTGTGAAATTGCTGAGTCCTATGGTGATTCTGTGTTTAACCTTTTGAGTAATTGCCAGACTGTTTCCATAGTGGCTGCACCATTTTACATCCCCCCCAGCAGTGTATGAAGTTTCTTTCAATTTCTCTGCATCCTTGGCTACACTTTATTGTACGTCTTTTTGATTATCGCTACCCCAGTGGGTATGAAGTGGTACCTCATCGTGGTTTTGATCTGCATTTTCCTGATGGCTAATGATATTGGGCATCTTTTCATGTATTGGCCAATGGTCTGTCTTCTTTGGAGAAATGTCTACTCAGATCCTTTGCCCATTTTTAAAATTGGGTTTTATTTATCTTTTTATTACTGGGTTTCAAGTGTTCTTTATATATTCTAGATACAAATCCTTTATCAGATGTGTGATTTGCAAAGTCTTCTCCCATTCTGTAGGTTGTCTTTGCAGTGTTTTGATAGTATCTTTTGAAGTACAAATGTTCTAAATTGTAAGTCCAGTTTATCTATTTTTTGTTTGTTGCTTGTGCTTTTGGTGTTATAGCTAAGAAATCATTACATAATCCAAGGTCATGAAGATACATCTCCATGTTTTCTAAGAGTTTTTAAGTTTAGTTCTTACACTGAGGTCTCTGATCCATTTTGAGTTAATTTTTGTATATAGTGTAAAGTAAGGGTCCAAGTTTATTCTTTTGCAGTGGATGTCCAGTTGTCCCAGCACCACTTGATGAGACTATTTTCCACCAGTGAATTGTCCTAGCCCCCTTATGGACGTCAGTTGACTGTAATGTGAGGTTTATTTCTGACCTCGTGTCTAGTCCATTGGTCTCTGTGTCTACCTTTTTTTGATGCCAGTACCATACGTTTTGGTTACTCTAGCTTTGTAGTGAGGTTCGAGATCAGGAAGTGTGAGTTCTCCAACTTCTTTCTTCTTTTTCAAGATTGTTTTGGCTTTTGGGGATCTCTTGACTTTCCATTTGCATTATAAGATTTGCTTGTCAAGTTGTGCAAAAAGAAGCCATCTGGATAGTGATTAATTTTTATAAATGGCATCTATTATTATTTTTTCTAATTACCAAAGTAATATACACTGCTGAAAACCTGGAAGACAGAAAAAGCAAATAGAAGGCAGCGGAAATTTAAAAATTTTTGTCCCTCCAGGCTTTTTTTTCCTCTTGTGTATTCAGCTTTTCTTTTGCAAAATTTGGAACCATTCCAGAGTTGATAAATGTCTGGGAGCACATTTGGATTCGTACCTTGGGAGAAGCTTCTGGAACTGAGATTCCTGGGTCGCGTAGCACACACAGGGATGGGGGTTGCTTTGTCTTTTTTGGGGGGACAGAGTTAGGTTTCTTTATGTATTTGTTATTTATTAAATGGAGGTACTGGGAATTGAACCCGCGACCTCCTGCATGCTAAGCACACAGCCTACCACTGAGCTGTACCCTCCCCTACTGTGTGTTCTTTTGTTCAAGTCTGTGCAGGCATCCGGTTTATGTTTCAGAGAAATGCCTTAAGTGATGTCAGCCAAGTGGAGCTCTGTTCGGTGGGAATCCTATTTCTCCGCAGATTTTTCGCAATCGAAGCTGTCTTCTTTTATGGTACATTACTCAGTGAACTGAATGCACACCTTGCTGAGAAGAGGCTGGTCTAGAGAAATGAACACAGGTGCCCACATGCAACTTGGATGCCCGCGTACATAGCAACACTGCTCATAACAGCCGAAAAGTGGTGACATCCCGAATGTCCCCAGCTGGTGAATGGATCCGAGAAGTGCGCCTCTCCATACAGTGAAATTGAGCCCTGAGGTGGAAGGAAGCCCTGACTCATGCTATCACCTGGTGAACCTTGAAAACATCTTGATGAGTGAAAGAATCCAGATGAGAAGATCATGTGTGATGGGATTCCATTCATATGATGTATCCAGAGCAACTACATCCAGCGAGAAAGTGGTTCTGTGGCTGGAGTGAGCTGGCGAGGGGAGGATGGAGAGTGACTGCTGATGGGGTGGAGTTTCCTTTGGGGGATGGAAATGTTTTGGCAGGGAGGGTATAGCTCAGTGGTAGAGCATGTGCTTAGAATGCACGAGGTCCTGGGTTCAATCCCTAGTACCTCCAATTAAAAAAAACTGTAAAAAAGGGTGAATTGCATGGAATATGAATTCTATGTCAATAAAGCCGTGAAAAAAATAGCATGCCGCTGAGAGTAGCATCTCGCTGGTGAGTAACACCCGCACAGAAACCCCTTTCTCGCCAGAGCTCTGGGCTCAGGGTGATGGGGGAAGGTTTGGGTGCAGGTATTAAGGGAGAGAATTCTGTTATTTGTTATGTTATGATGGGCGGGATCTGTGTCGTCCGGCCCATAGCAGGCATGTTACTGATGGTTCCTCATTTAATCTCCGCTCCTCGTCCACGCTGTGATGAACAGATCATCACTTTTTTTGGCTAAGACTCTGCACCCACTCAGGTCCCCGCTAGGAGGAGGCCAGTCCCACCATGGTGCTACCCTCCACCTGCTGTCCTGTGAATCCCACGGGGGTCCCGGCAGCCCGGGGTCGGGGGGCCCTGCAGGCTGGGAGAACCTGCCTTTCCCCTTGGGCTCACCCGGCCCTGCACTGGGGCGTCTCGGTGTCCAGCAGCCCTCAGTTCCTGCACTTGCTCTGGTCACTGCCTGGTCCTCAGGGCACAGCTCAGTGGTCGAGTCTACCACACCTGTCCATCCTGCAGGTTCTCATCGACTGGATCAATGACGTTCTGGTGGAGGAGCGGATCATCGTGAAGCAGCTGGAGGAGGACCTGTATGATGGGCAGGTGCTGCAGAAGCTCCTGGGTGAGTGCACGGAAGGGTGGGCCCAGCCCCTGCAAAGGGCCACAGCGAGGGGTGGCCCCAGGCTGGACTGCACGATTCTCTACGTGGCGACATCGGTTACTCATCCAGAGAGTAGACTTAAGCCACAGCCCTGAGCCCACAGCTCCCAGGGCTTCGTTTGGGTTCCAGGTCACCTGACCTCTCCTAGTCTCTCAGGTGGGCGTCCCCCAGAGCTCCAGCCATGGGCCACACATAGCTTCCAGAAGCACCTGCGGCCTCTGTGCTGTTGGGTGCACGTGTCCAAGGGGCGCCGTGTCCTCTCTGGGTCAGCCCTCCCTGCCAGCCTTGTGCCCGTCCAGCTCTGAGCACCTCCAGGCCTGTGCTGGCTCATTCAGGCTGGGAGATGCCGGAGCGGGGCAGGTCCTCAGCTGTGCCCTTGAGGGACATGATCTGGGGGTGGGGGAGGCGAGAAAGGAGACTGACTTGCCGACGCTCTTTTCATGTCTGTCCACCGGGGACAAGTTCCTCAGTGGAATGTACGTAGAGCACTTAACACGGTGCTGGGCACACGTCCTGGAGTCAGGACAGGGTCGTTAACAACAATAGAGGCAAAGACAAAGAAATGAGGGGTCAGAGCAGGGCTGGAGGGTCCCCAGAGTCCCCCTGAGTAACGGGCTCACGGTAACTACGTGTTGACCAAGTCAGTGAAGAAAGCCCTGTGGTTTCGTTTCCTGCAAGGACGAAGGCTCTTTTCACAGGAAATGAAAAGGCAGCAGGTAGGTGAGGCTTTTTCTGACTCTGTTGGACGTTGGCACCATCCAGATGCTCCAGGAGAGATGAGCTGTCTGCTGGACAGTGTCTCAGTCCCCAGGAAGCTCTGATGTCCCCAGATCCCTGCAAGGTGGCGTGGAGGGCTCGGTGTCCCCTTGCCAATTTGGATCACTCCCTTGCCAAAGGGCTGTGGTCGGCCCCGCCCCCCAGCATCAGTGGGGCCGGCGGACCTGCTGATCCTGGTGGAGGGGGCTCCCTAGCACACCGCCTGGAGGGTCCCTCCTTCCAGGCAGGTCTAGCCTTGGGGGTGCTTTTCACGGGGAGAGACACCAGAGGGGAAGCAGTCAGGCAGGGGCTGGGGCAGGAGGGGAGCATCCCAGGGAGGGGTGACCTGGGACCACGGAACGCAGCCCCTGCAGCCATGTGGGCTGTGGCCTTGGCTGAGCATCCACGCCCTTCCTCGGACCGGGTGCCTCGGGGCAGGGTTTGCACACACTCAGCACAGTGGCTCTTACAGACGGCCTGAGCTTGGAGGGCACCTGTGGGGCTGTGGGGAGAGGAACCGGGTCACGTAACTGGCTTTGACGACATGGTGATTGATGGCTCACACATTATTCTGTCCTTATTCAGTCAGTCCTCAAATGGCACATTAGAAGGGACCAGATTTTGTGTTTATTTTGGTCATCCCTTCATTCGTTGAACAGATATTCTCTGGCCTACTATGTGGCAGGTGTGGCTCTGGACCCTGGAGACTGGTGACAGAGGGAGGAGATCTTCTTGTCCCCAGCGCCAACACACATCTGGCAGAAGGGAGAAGGAGAGCCGTTACAGGGTGGTTCATCCTAAAGCAAATAGATGCTTTAGGAGAGTGACAGGCACTAGGGAGAAAATCAGAGCGGGGTGGAGGGGCTGAGTTGGGTGGAGGGGCTGGGCAGTCCGGGCCAGCCCTCCGGGGAGCTGACATTCAAGCAGACATCTGCACGGTTGGCATGGAAAGAACATTCCAGGCTGGGACCCTGAAGTGAGGAAGAGTCTGTGGTGTTTAGAGTGGCGGAAGGAGGCTGCAGGAGGCGGGAGTGGACAGATGGGGCCAGATCCTGTCCGGCCCTTGTAGACGAAGGCTTTTATTCCAAGTGACAGGAAGCCAGCAGAGGTTTTGAGCAGGGCCGTGACCTGATCTGAGTTAGAGTTTTAGAAGGTCGCCTGGGCTTCTGGGTGCGGGATGGATGAGG